AACCAGAAGAGCAAAAAGAAAAAAGAATCCAGAAATATGAAGATAGCATATGGAGCCTCTGGGACAACTTTAAGAGGCCCAACATTTGTATTGGGGTGCCAGAAGGAGAGGAGAGAGACCAAGGAATTGAAAACCTATTTGAAAAAATAATTACAGAAAACTTCCACTACCTGGGGAAGACATAGACTTACAAGTCCAGGAAGCACAGAGGGTCCTAAACAAAGGAACCCAAAGAGGCCCACAGCAAAACACATCATCATTAAAATGCCAAAGGTTAAAGACAAAGAGAGAATCTTAAAAGCAGCAAGAGAAAAGCAGTTAGTTACCTACAAGGGAGCACCCATACGACTGTCAGCTGATTTCTCAACAGAAACTTTGCAGGCCAGAAGGGTGTGACAAGAAATATTCAAACGAACACCTGAAAGCAGCCATAATGTGGAGGCAAAGAAGTGATGAAAAACATGGAACTACAACCAAGATTGCTCTACCCAGCAAAGCTATCATTTAGAATTGAAGGTCAGATAAAGAGCTTCACAGATAAGANAAAAGCTAAAGGAGTTCATCACCACCAGACCAGCACTACAGGAAATGTTGAAGGGTCTTCTTTAAGAAGAAGCTAATGAACAAAAGAATCTGATGAACTAAATAGATCCAGAGACAGTGACGCATATAACAGACGATCATATTTCAGAGGGAAGAGGGGTGGAGGGTGGGAAGAAATTAACCAAAGAAGTTATATGCATATATGCATAACCCATGGACACAGACAATGACGGGGTAAAGGCCTGGGGAGGGGGTGGGAGCAAGGTGGAGGGGGTCAATTGGGGGGAAAATGGGACACCTGTAATACTTTCAACAATAAAGATTTTTTTAAAATGTGAATTCTTTGGAAGATAAAAGCCCCTGGGTAGATGGATGAGTCCCAGGCCCAACGTGGAGCACACTCAATTCTGAGGCCCCGTGTGCCAGCCAGGGCTCTACCACCTGGAAGGAGGTTACAGGGATCAGCAGGTGGCAGTAGGGGGACAATGCCTGCTGATTGAAAGGAGGAGCCATCCAATGAGTCCCTCTTCAGACGCAAGTGGGAAAGGTGGCATCAGGACCATTTCAATAAACAGGGATAGTGAAGGGGAAGCCAGCTGAATGGCTCTTCCTGGCAGAGCAAAAGTAAACCCCTGTTTCATGACTTCACCTTTGCCTCCAGAGACGCCTGACTACAGGGCTGAGAAGAGGCCATAAATGACCAGTTGCCAAGCAACTGTCCTTCTGACAACTAGAAGGGATGGATAGTAGATTCTGCTCTTGTCTTTCCAAGTAATGAGATGTCACATCTCCTGCATACCCGTGCATGCATGCAACACACATGCATCACATACATACACACATGCGTGCACACACATACACACATGCATGCACACACATGCACTCACACATGCACACACAATCAGGGTGTTCACAGTGTCTGCAGGCCTTTCTTCCAGCCTGTGGGAAGGAGGAGCAGAGGAGAGCCCATGGTTCAGCCAAGATCTTTCCTCCCTGCCCCAGGGTTTCCCAGAGCCCTGAGACAACTCCCACCCCAGCTTCTCCGTGCTGCAGTTGTGTCCAGTTTGCTACTCTCCTAATACCCTTCCTCCACCCAGTGAGGGCCTCTAGCTGGGGCCCTGCACAGCTCCACTGCTGCTAAGCTGCAGGGGACCCTCCCTAGTTTCACAGCACTGTGTGCAGCACCCCTCCCTCTGGCCTCCATGGCATCCTGAAAAGCTGCAAAGCAGGAGGCCAGTGTCTTCTGCATGTGCTAACCCTCTCCTTGCCAAAGGCAACAGGCGCTGCTGTCCAGGGTCGCAGAGAGCCAGAGCTGCCATGCTGGGCATGGAGGTGCTGAGACAGGCTTGAGTTGGCGTAGCCCCACCTTCGTTTTCACCTTCCTCCTCTGCTGATGGCTCCTGAACCAGAGCTAGGATGCACTGCTTGTTCTCTGGAATGTGTCTGTAGGGCGGCCCCATCTCTGCTCCCCCCATACCCCTCAGCTGGTGGAGCAGGAGCCCTGGGGAGCTTGTTGGGGAGAGGGGCCGGCCGAGCAGGAGGCCAGATGTGAGATGAGATTGCAAATGCTCAGCCAGCTCTGCTAATGTTTGTTACTTGGTAATGAGACCTAAGAATGTTCTTTCTGCCCCAAGTTTTATTTTGAACCCTTCGATCATTGGTCTTACAGCCTTTGGGCCAAGTTTGTGCTCTCAGGCAAGGTACAACTAACTGCCGAGTACACTGATAATAGAGTGAAATCCCTCATGTGTGCATACATCCCAAGAAGCACAGACCGTTTCCCATCTGGGATTTCTCTGCCATCCCTCGAGCACTGTGAGGGGGGCAGGTGGTGTCAGTCTGTCATTTCCATTTTAAAGATAAGCCAACCGAGGCACAAAGAGACAAGAACCAATGGATGTTGGAGAGGGGGTGAGGTGCTACGCAAATGCTTCCCACCGGGGCACTTGCTCAGCCACTAGGTTGCTTTGTCCAGGAAGGGTGTATCCATCCCTTTCGGTGACCACCTTTAGGGTCCAAGATGAGTCAGTAAAGACGGCCAGGTAGGGGCTCTGGGGCCAAGGAGAGTCTCTGAAAGCTGGGAGGGAGGGAGGGGACGAGGGCCACAGAAACATAGGCAGAGTGTGGACACCTAGGTGCCCTGTAGCGGAAGCCCAAGGAGCCTGGACTTCTGGGTTTCAGGTCAGAGTGGGGGCTTCTTCCCCTGCCGAGAGACACTTAACTGACCCCTTAGAGTGTCTTGAGGGTGCATTTTAGAGCTGAAGCTCTCAGCCATCCACAGCCCCACCCCAGACGCTGCATGCAGGCCGACAAACACGGGGTCTTATCCTGGCTCCACTTCTTATTACTTGGGAACTTGGCCGAATCAGCTGAGCCCCTGCAGCCTCAGGCCATCATTTTTGTGATGGGGAGAAGCACATCTGCCAGCCACTCAGTTTTCAAGAGCTTCAGCCGGGTAGTGAACGTGGAAGGGCTTTATGAACAAGGGCACACAGGAAGCTGGTGGCTGAGGCTGGTGAGAGCCAGCACCCCCCAGCATCTTCTGATTCTGCCAAGTAGCCAGGTAGGAGGGTCTGCAGGTTCCTGAGGCCTCCCTCCTGCCTTGACAGTGCCAGAAACAATGCTGTTTGGGGGCCCTTTGAAAAGGCGATTTTGAATGCAGATCAGAGCTAAGATCCAGACCCCGACTCTCAAAGTCCCTCTCTGGGCAGCAGAAGGACTCAATCCATTCTTCCTGTCAAGGGGGTGGCATGAGCCTTACTTGTTGCTGCAAAGACTGTGTCTCTGGGGTCCAACACCTAATTCTGCAGGGATCATAGCTTTTCTTTGGATTGCCTAGCTTTAATGTGGCCCTCCCTGGAGAGAATCACTAAGGAGGTTTTAAGCCCTTTCCTCCCCTAACTGTACTTAGTTAACCTAAATCATAACCCAAAGCTGGAGAGGTATAGATGTTTTATAAATAAGCTCTCCCTTCACATATTCCACTACTGGGCACGTGTTACCTATACCATATGCTCCCTGAATAGGCTCTGGAGCAGTGATGCAAGCCAGGAATAGTTGTCACTAAGGCAATAGCTTCCTCTGGCACCCCAAGCGCAGACTCACGCTCGCCAGTCCAGGCAGCTGGACAAGGGCCTGTGGATCTCCACAGGCTGCCACTGGGACCTTCCCACCTGGATCTCCACAGGCTGCCACTGGCACCTCCATGCTCCACAGCCTGAGGATCCCCAAACACCGTGCCCTCCTCCACCTGCCACATCTCAGGACGCCAACCCCAAGTGCCGGGACAAAGTTAGTGTCAAAGTGTCAAAGTGATAAAGACTCACCTTGGTGCCTCCACGGAGGCTGCAGAGGCTGTCCCCTCAGTTCCCGGCATCCACCATGGTGGCTGGAAAGCTGGCTGCTACCACCACACTGAGACCCAGGCGGTCCTTTGGAGCTTGTCCCCACAGCCAGCCAAATCCAGATGGAGTCATAGAAAGAGGCTGTAGGGGTGCCCAGTGACTCGTCTTGAGGGTCACTTCTCCACAGGCTCCTTTGTGCCCTAGCGGGGGCCTGGGGCTGGGGAGTCCCTGTCTTGGTGCCTCACCTTGTTCAGCCAGGGGCAGTGCTCAGGAGATGTTCTATGGAGGCACCGGCAGCTCTGCTAGGTACTGACTGAGATGTGAACTGCAGCTGCTCTGGCCGGCAGTCTTTAAATGCAAAGTTTTTGGAGCAGTTGTGGAGGCCCACCTTGGGGTCTGGAACACGCTCCCCCTCTGGTGGCCAACTTCGGCATTACAGCCCCACACAGGCATGGCCGCTAGGTCCGGAGCAGTGCAGTCAGCCTTGGTCTTCATGTGCCTGCTCTAAGGGCCAAGCTCAAAGCACTTTTCGGAAATCTTCTAAGAGAATGGACAAGGGCTTACAAGCCATACAAGGAAACCAGCCTTGTAAACTTATTTATAGGACAGAATTGGCATTGTTTAATGCATTCACCAAACTTGGCTTAGAATTACTTTGTGTTTTCCTAAAGTCACATCCACCCCCAAAGGACACAGATTGGCCTGAGTGAGGATAATCAGAAGCATGCCCCATGATTTCCAAAGTCAGTCTCAACCTGACTCAGCAATAAAGCCAGCATTTATGGAGCACTGACATTGCAAAAGGGCAGGGGATACAGGAGTGAGCAAGACGAGCTCACTCTCCTCAAGGGGGTTGCCATCCAGGATGAGAGGTGGGCTCAGGCAGAAATAACTATAACCCTAAGCATGACTGATTACATTTAGAAAAGGCGAGCTAACCAAAACACTAAGAGAGCAATTACATTCTGACTGGGGTGGAGATGGGGAAATGCATTAAGGAAATTCCAAAAATAGTTTGAGCCATGGCAGTACTGTCCATTTATGTGGACGGCCCCCGAGGCCAGAGCTCTGAAGGTAACGTTTATGAATAGGCTCCCGATTATTGGTTAAAAATGCAGCCTCGATACTTGAGAGCCGGATCTCGTACATGAGAACAGTTTGCCAAGGCTCAGCTCTCTTCGCAGTACAGCTGCTAACCCACAGCTGAGTCAGAAATGCCTGGGTTCCCTTCGGTGACCGCGCCTCCTGACAGCCCCTGAGGGCAGCTCCAATGCCAGGCTCTGTATTACAGGGGGGAAATAGTAATGATACAATGATGATGATAATAATATCGGTAATAATAATAATAGGAGGAGAGAGAAGAGGAAAACGGAAAGGGGGAGAAGGGAAAGGAGAAAGAGAGCAGGAAACCTTTATAATATATACCATGTGCGAGGCAATTCCAAGTGCTTTTCTTGTGTTAACTCATTTAACCTTGACAACAACGCTGTGACGAAGGTACTGTTATTATTCCCACTTTACCGAGACGAAGGAACTAAGTAACTTGCCCAAGGTCAAGCAGCCTATAAGTATTTTTGTTAGTTTTTAACCTATTCTACGTCAAATATAAATATTTCAAGAATATTTTTTATGCACTGTTCACAGACCAGTGTTTATCTTGTACTGCTGTTCTTCAGCTTTGTAGGAACGTGCTGGCGGAAAGCGTGTCATCTCTCAAAATCTTGAATTTGTATTTACTGTTTTAAAAAAGTAATTATTGTTTAATTATACCATGAATTTCATCAGTTTAGGTCTTGTTCAGGAGATAGTTTTGGTAAAAATTAATTATTGTACATGCAAAACAATAGAGGAATTTAGCTTGTATGGTTTTTATAAAATTTGCTTGATCGATAGTGTAAATGTTTTCGGATTTGTCATCTCATTGTTTATCTCAAAGCACCCGTCGGATCTTCACTGAAACCCATAACCACCTCCAGCCACCAGCCTCACTACCCCCCACCAGTCGGAGCTTCCTCTGAGGGAGGGCAGATGGATCCAAGGAAAGGAGCTTCTCCAAATAGAAGGCGGCCCAGGACTTGGGAGTGTCTATGCCTCATCACCTTGAAGTCATTCCTCCGTAAGTTTCTGTATCTTCCCTCAAAATAATTAGGTATTCTTTGTTAATTAAGAGAAGTACAGTACCATCTTCAAGAGATCATTCAGACATAGTAAGGCTGAATTAGGGGCAAAGCCGCAGATTTATAGTGTCGAGTCCTGGGCCTTAATCTGGCCATTCCTAGTTGCATGCCTTTGGGCGAATCACTACACTTCTCGGTCTCAGTATTCTCACTGGACAGAGAGATAATAACCCCGTATCACAGGGCAGTTGCAAGGATTGAGCGGGATAAGGCAGTGACTGTGAGTCCACTAGTTTCATGAGATGTTCCTGGAGTTTCTTGAGACAGGGTTCTCTGGTCAAAACAAAAGGTGTTCTTTAATTTCAGGACTTATCAGAGCCTTTAAGATGCCACTGAGCACTATGATTCTCCAAAAGGAAGATGAGTATTAAGGCTTCTTCATTCTTAACTGAACAGAGAACAGGGCTAGTGTTCCATAGGATACACTGACAAAAATTATGAGCTAAGGTAGTAAACAGACTTGTTTACAATTTAAACAAAAATGAGCTTTAGAAAACTGGTAGGCTTATTCCTCTGAGTGCCAAAGAGCGAAAGATGTCTCATGCTACTGGAGTGTGATGAGGAGCCATTCATTCTGAGAGGAAAACAAGGCAATGCCACTTGTGACCTTCCTGAGAGGGTCCCACTTGTCATTGTCTCCCCATCCTGCAGCATAGCCCCATAAATGTCAACTGGATACCTAAAGTATGGGTTTCACCTCCTTGCTCAAGGTCAATGGCTGCCCGTTGCCATCAGCTCACCTTCTCCATCCTGTTTTCTTTCACCTTGACCCTCACACCCCCTTCTGTCGGCACTTAGGCAAGTCCCTTCTTACCCCTCTACACCCACACCCACCTACTGAGACTTTGCCCACCGCCCACCCTCCACCACTACCTTCCCAGGCTTTCCAACACAGTTCACCCAGCCCTGTCCCTCCCTGAAGCTTTCTCCACTGACTGAGTCACCTCTATTTTTGATGGCCATAGTGCTCAGGGGCTGTTCCACCTGCTCAGGTGCCTGAACAAAGTGCTCTAGGTTGCTCTGAGCTTACTGCAGTCAAGGTTCATGTGTATACTCTTCTGTGCCCTGCGCCCCAGCAGTTAGCCCAGTGACAGGCCCAAAGCAGGCGGTAGATCAGCATTTACTAATTGGTGGCCTGGGCAGTAAGCTTCAGAGACGCCTTGCAGAGAGGACTGGATTCCAAGCCAGGACACCCAGCCTGGACTCCCAGCTCCACTCTCCCAAGAGCTGTGAGTATGAGCAAGTCACCAAACCTCTTTGAACATTCACTTCCACGTCTATAAAATTGTGTTGCTACCTCCTGGCCTTCCCATCTTAAGAGTTATTACAAGGGAAAGGAATGTTGAAAACTCAAAACACTTCACAAATGTTAGCCATTTTTATTATTTTTTAGAGTTGACAGTCCCTGACAGATGGTGTATTAATCACAATGTGGCTCTTTCTTTAGTGTCCAGCTGTTGACAGCTGGCACTGAGTCCAACACAGTGGGATCAGGAGCCTCCGCCTTGTGGAGTTCCCTGTTCTTCATCCATCATGGAATCTGCCCAACCATCTGCTTTGACTCCATGCCTCAGTTCATTTTCATTCATTTCCCAGAAGGTATGGGAATAATGGATTACAGGAGACAGCCCAGGTTTTCTGACACTGGCCCAGGGTTGTAGGCAGTCAAGGTGACAGGCCCCCTCCCAGTCATGTGTACAGGCCGGAGACCCAAAAGTAGGGCTTGCCTGGACCTTCTTCTATTGTCAAACTCAATGGCCCAGGAAACCCGAAATGGGTCACATAGTGAGGGGCTCTAAGAGGATCATTCTTGGAGCTGAGATGATATAAATTTTATTTGGGAATTGGGTGATGAAGTCATTTTAATATGAGGCATTTATAACTGGTAGCCAAGCATGTTCATTTAAGCAAATCATAAGAAACTGTCAAAACAGGGTGAGAATTAGGGCCAAAACTCAGAAGAGATTTCATGAGATAAATATAAGACAGACAGCAATGTTGGGGAAACTCACCTGCCCACATACAAGATATGGGATACCAGGCTTTTTAGGGACACATAAGAAAAAAAGAAAAAAACCTAAGATTTTAGATGACTTTGAGATTGATGTAAGCCAGCAGGAGTTGAGAGAAACAGCTACTTCAAAATTTTATCTGCATTAATAGAAGCATGGTGAACAGAAAATGGAGGTGACAGAAATCCTGCAGTCTGCATCAATGAGCTCATACTTGGTAAAGTATATTCAGTTCTAGGTGCCTCTAATTGAAAGATGAAGTCACAGCTTAAAGGGTGCTCATGCAGATGACTAGGGTGGTGAAGTGTCCAGCAACCCACAGGAAAGAGCAATGATTAGCACGAAGCAGAAACCATTCAAGGGGACATGATTTCTATTTGTAGATACATCAGGAGCTGTCATGGGGAGCCGGGTTAGGTTATTTTTCAATTTTCTGAGAGAGAGAGGCTGACTTCCACTCAACATATAGAAACTCATAGGCACAGTTGAGCTGTCTAGATCTGAGTGTCCTGGCTGTTGGCTCAATATTCCCCACACTCATTGTTTAATCAGAGCCTGGAAAATGTCTGGACAGAGAAATGCAGGGGGGGTCTCCTGCAGCATGTGACTGGTTGAGCCCAATGACCTCTGATATCTCCTCCAAGTCCAAGAGAGCCTTTACATGAAAAATTTCTTCACCTTGATAAAAAGTAGTTACAACTGATTTTGCTGCTTAGATTGCTTTGGTTGGGGAAAGAAAGAACATTCCATGCATGCTTTAATATTAAGAACTAAGAACAGGCAACATTATATTCAATAAGTAAGTAATATTAATAATAAAGCTACTTTGGGTATATACAATGCCAGGAAGAGAGAAAAGAAGAAATAAGGGAAAAAGGTAAAGAATGATGGAGATAAAATAGAAGACAATAAATGGAAAAAGAGAGGAAGAGGGAGGCGGGAGAGGAAGGGAAAGAATGAGGGAATCAGAGAGAGTATAAAGTGATATAATATTTCTCTTTCTCTTTCCTCCTGAAGTGTTGGATACATATCACAGGATACACATCATGGCTAGTGCAAAATGTAGATTTTTCTTTTTTT